CCCCAAAACCCCAAAACCCCAAAACCCCGTTGAGTAAGATACAGTTGGGAGTGGATTTCATTATATTTATAATTATCTAATTTCAAATGAGAGGATCCAAACTAGCTGCAATCTTACTTATAGCTACTACTAGCGTGTATGCCAATGTAAACGAGGAACTTCAGAAAATGCTTAATGCCAATCAAAGACTCGATGTAGATGTACTTTACGAGCAATGGCTTAAGGAATTTGATGGAGTCAGACCTAGCAAGAGGTTAGATGCCAGAGGAGTGAATCAATTCAGAAAGGGCATTTTTAACTCTAAAGTGATGAATATCATCTCTCACAATCTCGACAAAACTAAAACCTTCAAGAAGGGACTTAATCAACTTTCAGATCTGACTGCAGAAGAAGTCTACAGATACTACAACTTAAAAGCCTAGGCAGAGTAGGTTTGTTCAGCTACATCTTCAGCTGCCAAGGATTTATCTTAGGCATTAAAATCTACTCCTGAAGCCTATGACTGGAGAGAACACAACGGTGTAACTCCAGTAAAAGATCAAGGCCAATGTGGCAGCTGCTGGACCTTCTCAACAGTCGGTGCTGTTGAAGCTCATTACCTTATAAAATACCATCAATTTAGAAACCTCTCAGAACAGTAATTGGTTGATTGCGCCTAAAACTTTGATAATCATGGATGCAATGGTGGCCTTCCATCACATGCTTTTGAATACATTAAAGATAACGGAGGTTTATCAACTGAGCAAAATTATCCATATCATGGTGTTGATCAAACATGCAATATCCCCTCAGGCACTCAAGTAGTCGGAGTAGTAGGAGGATCAGTTAACCTAACAACTTCAGAAGATGATCTCAAAGTTGCAATCTATGAACACGGACCAGTCTCAATAGCCTTCTAAGTAGTTGACGACTTTATGGATTACCACAGTGGAGTTTACGCCTCACAAGTTTGCGGCAACGGACCTATGGATGTCAATCATGCAGTGCTAGCTGTAGGCTACGGAACTGAGAAAGTCTCAGGAGTTGACATTGACTATTGGATCGTCAAAAACTCTTGGTCAGCTTCATGGGGTGACTAAGGATTCTTTAAGATTCAGAGAGGCGTCAACATGTGTGGCTTAAATAATTGCAACTCGTATCCACAAGATGTCCTTAATCTATCCTCTGCTAAGGAATTCCTTCAATGAAGTTGAATAGCAATTATACCAAACCCTAATCTTGATATCATAATTCTTTATAATGCTATAAATGACTAGGCAATTGATGATGGGGTTTTGGGGTTTTGGGGTTTTGGGGTTTTGGGG